GGGGGAAATAGTGGAAATAACTAACTGAAAAAGGTTTAAAAAACTGTCAATGTCGCAATGTCATTAACCTTACACTGCTGGGAGGGACAAATCTTTTCGCGATTGCCAAAGTATGAAAAACGGCATCTTCTGAGAAGCAGACCTCTCCCGTCATGCTTGAAAAGGTTAACCCCGTGAAAGTCCATATTTTATTCGGAATGCCAAACACATGATGATATGAGCGAAGAAGTTGAAGTGATGAAAGAGAAAAAACAACAGGTACAAAGCACTTACAATACAAACATAGAAAATACTTAAAGATTTATGAAAACAATAGGCAAAACTAGACACCAAGACTGCCAGCAAGCTCATTGACCTACTTGCCTATCCCGATGGCAAAATCAAGAACTAGCTGAGACAGACACAATAAACCTATTGGGGAACCCACGAGCCAGAAATAAGACAATACAAGAGGCTGGTTTATTAGTGCCAGGTACACTTAAAACTTCTGCAGACAGTACCACCATTGGACCAAAAGAATGGCGTCCTCTTGAGAAACAAGTCACCTATGTCCTCGACAGGAAATGGTCATCCTCCTGTTCCGAAAATTGTGAATTGTATTGGAATAACAAACATGTCTCCAAATACACCATCCATCTCCAATAACTTCTGAAAAGACTGTGCCAAGTGGGTGGAGAATCTTAAAAATTTCCAACTATCCAACTAAAGAACTACCCCTTTTTCAGTAACCGAACTATGGCAATCAACATCACAGCCCAGCATGATAATAACAGGATCAAATGGCACAACCATCTTCGTAAATGAAATGACATTACACAACTGCTTTGGGTTCGGAAAAAAATTAAGTTGGAGACAGAAGATACCCAATTCCAAGTACACCCTACAGAACATTCTAGTGTACACTAGTGACACCAATGACCAGGAACAGATTGAACCTTTCAGTAGTGTGCCCGCCCCCTGCATCTATTGTCTCAAAACACAACTTATCCTAATCTGTGAACCACACCCCCACGCCAGAATAAAGCCCAAATGTACTCCCAAACAACAATGACCTAATCAACTATCCATCCATTGGTCCACGTCACCTCTACACCGTCGTCAACAAACAGTATTTCTTGCTTATAGATACATCCATTTTACGGAGAAAATAAAATTTGGGAGATCTTTCCACATGCACAGTAGGGATAAATAATATGTTCACAATTAATAGAAACGGTACAGGAAGAGAGCATTGAATACAGGCTTGACCAAACCAAAGAACAAAACGATGTCTGTATAGATTCACTTAAACACCCGTATACGAGAACACCACAAATGGTAGAAATCTTTCTTCAAGAAAATACTGAAGTAAAAAAAAATAATAAATTTCACGGCAGATTTCTTATTAGCACAATAACAGGATCAAAACAAGAACTAAGATTATGAACTGAACACTACATTCAGGGAAAATAGACATAAGTCACAGACAAATTATTGCAACCTTTACGCTTTTTCTTTCTGGATTTATATAGATAATTTTAGTTCTTTCAGTGTACACCTGTCATAAATTTGCCACCAGTGTGTGGCTACTGTCTCTGATAAAAATTGCACTAAAGCATTAAATTGGTTTGGTCTAAAAATTGATCAATGATAAGAACAGAAAATTGTGACAAACGCCGTTTTTTCCCTCCTGTAGCCTTCATAAAACATATTTCGATAGCGTGGGGCGGGCTGGACAGGGAGAAGCTCTGTGGGTGGGTGTATGAGCGGGCCAACAATCTAGCCGTCGGCGACCAGCGTAGGGATACGGCCATCGGAGGAGGCGCCTGGACTCAGCTGCAGCAGCGTGGAGTGACAGCGGTGGCACACACGCTCCGGCTTGTTGAGGTGGGCGTGGGGCACCGGCGCTCGGTAGTTGCTGCACTCATCGCAGAACACTTTGCCACAGTTCCTGGGGGAGGGGATGGGAAGGGTAGGTATGAGGTGAGGTGA